TGACCAAGATATTGCTTTGGAGAATTCGAGGTACTCAATTTTCTGATTGAAGAACGATATCACAGTGAGAGCTCTGCTACTCGCGGCGCATAGCCAGAAAACCACTTTGTGCTTACGTTTAGCTTTGAAGATAAGGCAAAGTCCACTTCACCTTCCTCATAACCGTGCGTGCGTTGTCATAACAAGAGACATGCCGTGCACGCCTAACAATTGGTTGAAGAGAGCCGCGAGTTGGTGGGTGCTCTCGCCTCGAGACCTCGACTCCTATTACATGAATCCCGACGCGCAGGGTGCCACTGTGATTTGATTTCCATGTAGTTGCTGTTATTGCTGAACCAACTAATTTAATCACTTTAAACCAAATCATAATTAGCACTTGCAAACAAACAGAATGTACTATTACCAGTTCTTATAGTGAGTAGCTCGACAAAAGTCAATATACGAGTGCGGTAGTTAATTGTGACTGTCATGAGTGATTAAAGGTGCATGGTAATGCTAAAAAACTATTACTTCCGATTTCAAAAACGCATGGACTAACATGTAATTTAATAGATGCATTTGCCACACAACTCCCCTGAATGCTTTTTCGGATAATTGCAAGCCAAGAGCACTGACATTCTGCTCAACATCCTCTCAAGACTGCCAGCAAGTCACATTTTGGCACCTTTACCACATGGTTTTGTGGTCACCAAAACTCTTGGCGGTGCTGTCAGACACTGTCGCACATTTGCTGTAACGTGCTGCTTAAGACTCCTTCCACTTCAGCCACAGACCGATTACTGAATTCCTTCTCTGCAGGACATTGTTATTTTGTGCCCACCCACAGCGCAAAAGTTTTGTTAAAAAAACACACCGCATTCATACACATGAACTGTAGGAACTCTTTAAGCCTCTCGTTATTATACCGGTGTCACACGGTACTTTTTAATCGCGATCAATGTTGACCCGGATTAGGTGCGGCTAAACGGTAACTTTTATTAGTAATCAGGCCCGATCGGAATCAAGGCTATCGCAATCCGCGTATCGCGATGCGGCTGAGTGATCCCGATTTCGTGTCACCTGCAAGTCCTGGCCAAGCTTGTTGAAAGCAAAATAAACAAAAAAATCAAGAACAGTTACTGCAAAAAGCGACTTAAAAGCTTGATATTGAGTTAAGAAAGAAATTCTAATATTTTTCGATTGGAAAAATATCTGCAAAATTGCATATTTTAAGATTTGTATTAACCTCGTGTAGTTATGGTAGAAGCAGACGATAAGCATACATAAGTTCAACTCTCGAACCCTCGGAGCAGTTAGAGCACCTCGAAGCAAACTGATTATGAGTGTCGCCAGCTTTTCGACAACGTCGCAGCATACGCAAAGTTCGTGGTCGAATGAAGAGACTTTTACAGTAATTGACCGATGGCGAGAGCAACTGAGAGACTTGAGTAAGCTCTGGCGTGAATATCGAGATTGAATTTTCGAGTTGACTAGACGGCTACGAGCTGGTGGCATCAGAAATGAAATTGAAGGTTAAGATTTTCGCATAGCACTACATGTGTGTGCGAAGAAAAATCTAAAACTCGAAATATAAAGTTATGAAATTATTTTTGTCGGGACACGCAAAATTTTTTGCATTCGTGTGTTGCTTGTACGAATAATAGTTTGCTTATGAAGAGTTCCATAGAAACATCGTTTGCCGAGTTTTGTCATTGACATGTTTTATGACACGCGAGTGCCACCTTGTGCATTCCATCTGACCCAAGCTCGAATCAGATTATCTTGGGCCTATGTACCAGCAGCCATAAAATTCATCGTGATCAAGAAAACCAATCTGGATCACCCTGATCGTGATTGAAAGTGCCCGTGTGACAATGGTATAAAAATGACTGACTACTCAATGTACCATAGTAGAAGTTTCGAGTAATTAACATTAAAGATAATGCCAGAAAGAATAGTTTTATAGCTTATATAGCAGAATATACCTCACAACACCAAGTAATAATCGATCTATTGTCTCCGGTGTTGTTGCACCACCAACAGCATTGAAATTTTCTTTTATTGTGATAGAAATTAAGTGGATACTCTTGGCTGGATTTCACCGACGGAGCCAACGTTATGCACTGTATATGTATACGAATCTATATATATGAAAATGCAAGAAAGAACAAAAACCCAGAAAAAGTACTCCGGCGTGTGAAATCGAACGTAGGACCTCCGCGTCGCGAATGCGAAGCATTAACCACTAAGCTACCGAGAGATACCTTATTGAAAGTTCAAACGGCAAGCTATGTATACCTAACACTTACCGCTTTCAGCAGGCATCTCGGTGGTTGGGGTAGAACTATCGTGTTTTCAGCATTATCAGCAAGGTGGCGCAACGAGCGTGCGGCGGCTCTTATCTCTCACGTGTACTTTGGCCCGCGGAGAGGAGGCGAGTGGAGAACCTCTCACGTGTGCTTATCTCCTGGTGGGAAGGATCATACGTCGTGACTGGCGTTAGGCCTGGAACGATTCTGTTGTAGTTACGGGGCGCACAAAGGTCACTGCGATCGTTTCAGAGCCTTCGTTTGCGAAAAGGGCGCGCTTTTCAGACACAGCAAAGTAACATATGACACGCTTATTAGTGTTCATCTGTACGTGTGAGTACGTTTCGTGCGTCATTTGTGCGGGAGAAACACGGGGCATGTTTTGATCAGCTTGCTATTTTACGCGTGACCTTCCCATTTGTTGTTATCGCGTTCTTTGTTTCACCTTTGCGGCAAAGCTGTCACTTTTTTTGAATTAGTCATAGTTGTGGGATGGGTTGACTGCTAACTGGTGTGATGCACCGGTTCGACGTTCCATCGAATAATCCCTCTGCAAGTGACCGGCGCTCTCCGTTTGCTTGGTGATGTCATATGTCTTGTTGAAGGTGGGACTCGCCTCCGCGAACAGGCGCATTTGTAGGCCTCCGTCGCGCAGTCCACACACAAAATGGTCACGCAACGTCATATCCAAAGAGAACATAGTGGTTTTAGCAAGTGTGACTCCTTGCAAGAGCCTGCGATGCCTTACTATACGGAGGCGGAGCGGCCCTCTGCTAAGCTTATGACCAGGGACGTAAACTCCGATTGCTTTCGCATTGCACGCATTATCGTAGGCAGAGAGGAAATATTCCCAGCTAGATAGAAAGGAACTTTTGATCGTCTACTCAGCAAGCCACTTCTGCCAACACATTACGGGCAGAAGGGTGACCTTTATAACGAACCATCGGCCCTTATTCTAGGGTATTATGGGTCCTCAGAAGCCAATGCTACAGGCATTGTCGCCGCGAATGACGCAATGGTGCGCCAAAACATCGCCGTACGATCACAAACTCGTAGATCACACTGGGAAGAAACAGAAGAACGCTGATGCACTAAGCCACCTGCTGATAGACCCCACAATCGACAAACCAACCCCGTGGAGTAATGTATTCATGTTCAGCGTGCTGCCGAACCATCCGTTGACAGCTCGCACGGCGGCAGCATCAACGCAGGAGTGCGCTGTCTTGAAGGAAGTCTACGCAGCTATACGAAAAAGGCAACGTGTGAATGCTTAAGAGTGAGCACATCAACGCTTACCGCAAGTGAGCTATGTAGTTTAGCAATCACCGCGGTTGCATCACTTTGGGAACAAAAGTTTTCATTTTGGCGGCACATAATGAACAGGCCATATTGCTTCTCCACGCAGGTCATCGAGCATATTTGTTGTCAAGCGTTCCAGAAGTTCTACTTGGTGGTCAGGTATCCATCATGACATAAAAGTAACAGTGCGAGATTGCCCGCCTTGTCAATGCAGCCACTGCGACCCGCCAAGAGCGCATATTTCTGATAGGGAAAGACCAGACACGTCTTGAAGCACCCAGAACCTTCATTTTCTGGGCCTATCAAAATGTGTGTTTCCTAGTAGTTGTAACGCATGCAAAAATTGGCTTGAGATAAAGCAGAATACTACAAGAACATCCGCAACAGTCATCAACACAGTACAATCGCTGTTTGCAACGTATTGCCTACCACACAAGGTAGATGAGACCACGTCAGTCCATGTGTCTACGGAGATTCTCATGTTTTACAGCGATAACGGCCTCTACTCAGTTACATGAGCTTCTTACCAAACGGCGACGAACGGATCATCTGAGCGCTACGTTGCAGAGTTTTACACGCCCTTACGAAAAAAAAAAAAATCAGACTGGGACTACTCAACGCAGCCTCGCGCGCTTTCTATTCTGGTAACACAACAATGTTCAAAGCACCACAGGGCAAATGCCAGGAAGATTGATGTTTGTACAATAAATGAGAACCCAGCTAAAAAAAAATGGTCTCAGAGCCCTGCATCGCAAACACTGTCGGGAGAAAAAAAATTCCCGTGTAGCAGGAGAATAGAAATTGAGCAACGCGTATACGTACGCCAGTCCAAGAAAGAGCCCCAGTTGAATTTAAGCGATGGTACTCAGACGCATAGACTGGTC